GGGGGGAAGGAGATGAACGGATGAACAAGAACATAGAAGAAAAACAACAATGAATTTCAGCCATGAAATTGAAAAATTTGAAAAGAATTGGAAGAAGATTAAAGCAAAAATTGAGACATGAAATTGAAAGACCACGAAGAGAAATCAAATGACCGAGGGTTTCTTATTCTCCTAAGAGAAATTCTTCTAGAATTGTGTGGGTATATGATGTCCTAGATTACTACTCTTATTAGAGATTTGCCCTTGATCAACCAATAGAAATAGAAATAGGAAAAATAAAATGACAAGTTAAAATGACAATTTTGCTCTTGGTCGACCACCTTCTCTTTTCTATATAATAGAAAATCGTGACCAAGCTTGTTACATTAGTATTTACACTTGAAAATGTGCCTTTTCACGTCTGCAGTTATGTCGGAGTTTCATTTGAATTTTTCTACAATGCAAAATGTGCTATATGATTATGGTGAATTGTATTAGCCATTAGGACTCATCTCAGCAAAATCATAGGAACATGAGACAGAATAAGGGGATAGGAAAAAAAAACAGGATATTCATTTATTTATAAAAAAGTACTGAGAAGCCAATTACAAAAGCATATACTTAGACAACATATACTTATTGAAAAATTAAGACCACAGACACCACTTCCAAACTAACACACACTACAGAAAAGCATATCTCAGAACATTAAGCATATGCATCAGGATTCTGCAGGAGATAGACTTCTACTGCTTTATACATTCCTAAGACTTTCTCTTTGCCTGCTTTAATTTCTTCTTCCTTGAGCTTGAAATCGCCCTCCGTATAATATGTGCTTGTCACCTTAGAGATAGAACCACCATCTGCTGACTGCTCAAACTTCACCTCGTAAGTTATTTTTTCGAGTTTATCAACCAAGGCATCACCTTCAATCAAAGTGTATTTGTAAACAAATTTCTCTTCATTAAGCTCATCAATCCTATACTTAATGGACTTAAAATTGCCACCTGCAGGAAAAGAAAAAAAAAACGCCGCTGTTAAGAAAATACTAACGGCTAAAATTGGAGTCTATCATCATAAAATTTGAAAAGAATTAAGTAGGATGTTGTTACCTTCAGGAAAGTTGATTTGCTTAATACTTCCAGCACCTCCATTACCCTGAACAAATTCAATACTTTTAATAGCTTGTGGCATTAGCTTTGGCATCAAATTGTGAGAATCAATAATGGAGGCTTTAAAGATTCTTGATGGAGGAATAGGACAAGTGTACTCATCAGTGAAGGAAGTGATAGCCATGTTCAGCTTGTAGAAGAAATTTAAAGCACAATGTATTGGAAAGATTAGTAGTGGATGAAGAGCTGTTGTTTGATACAAAAAACTGGGAATATCATAGGGTATTTATAGGTCTTAGGACCATGATTTTATTATTCTTGAGATAGATAACTAATGGAAGACAAATATTCTATTTCTTGTCGACAATGTAAAAAAACAAACCAATGCATAGTTTCCACAGTTCATAAAATTGCTTCTTTTAAAAAATCTCTTGCACAGATGCATTTATACTTTAATTTGGCCTTGCATCTCTGGAGTTATCTTAGTAAAGCTTTCATTGGGATAATAGTATAAGGTTTTTGTCTTAACTTACTACCTGAACAAGATTAATCTATTGTTATAGTTCCGATGTTGTTTGAGACTGCATGATACCTAGGAATATAGCTATCGTCCTATTTTGTTGCAGCAGTAACTTGGTAATTGAAGAACTAGTCATAAGAAACAGCAATTCATTTCAGATGGCGGATCTAGTGTATAAATTAACGGTTCATCCGAATAAAGTAGCTTTGATTCGGACCTTATATATGGGTTTAAAAATCTAAAAATAAGTACAAATAATAGATTTCGAACTCATAAAATCAAATGAGTTGCAGTAGAATAGCAAACTCAATCCATCTATCTTCATAACTTGGATATTTCCAATACCCTTTTCACCTTTTAAATTAAATGGGAAGAATAACCCGCTTAAGTAATATTTTCCAATGAAAAGAATGTGATTGTGGCGACTTTCTTAGTTTTAATAGTAGCCATAAAATCTGTTTTTTCTTCTTTTTAGAGCACATTGCTAGGTCAATGCATCGTGCATAGTAAGGATGGCAAGTGGGCCGGTCCAGGACCGGGACCGGCCCGGAACCGCGGACCAAACAGTCTTCTGGGCCTAAACGAGCCTGAACCGGTTAGAACCGTGGACGTGGACGTGGGCCTGGTCCGGTATTCCGGGACGGTTCTTCACTTTAGGACCGCTAGGCCTGGGACCGTTTGGGACCGGGATCGGATCGGTCCTTGGCGGGCCCAAACAGTCCCAACAGTCAAAATTCAAAAAAAAAAACTTGCCCGTTGGGCTTTGAAAAATCTGGTCGTTGGCTATTTACAAAATAGCCATTTAACTCCCCTCCCCCAACTTTGTTTTAACCCCAAACTTTTTATAATTATACTTTTTTCCTATTTTCAACTATAAATACCCCCTCATTCTTTTATTTTTCTCACAAAATCATCAATCTCTCTCTAATTTTCTTCTATAATTGCTACTATTGCTTACTTTATTGTTATAATTTGTGAAAAAATTGTGAAGTTGGTGAATTAAAGTCTTCAAGTCTTCAACGATAATCAATTTTCAACAAGTTATTCGTCAATTCGGTAAACTCGTTCCAACTCATAATTTTTAATATTATAGTTTTGTTTGTAGATATTACAATTTCAATGGATAATGCTACTAGTAACACAAATGATATAGCCTTGCTTACCACTACACTAAGTCCTGCATTTAGTAACATTTTTCATGTTAGATGAATTTGTCATATTTATCATTTAATTGTGGGTGATGGTATGCGAATTTTAAATATTGAAATTGAAAAGGTTAAAATGGCTCTTAACTGGCTTTTTTATTCAAATCGTAGAATTAGACTTAGAGAATATTTTAAAAGATGCGATGAATTTGGCCTAAGAGAAAGAAAGATTTTTAAACCTTGTCCAACTAGATGGAATTACATGTATGAAAGTTTAATTGTTGCATATGAATATAGAAACCCTATAAACTCAACGTTTAATACTCATGTAAGTGGTGATGATGATGAGCACCTTACAAATGCGGATTGGGCTAATGTTAAAATGCTTGTAGATTTTTTAGAAAAATTTCATATTGCTACAAATGAATTTTCTAGGTGATATTATCCAATTATTTCTAACTGTTTAGTTTATATCGCAGAACTTGCAAATTTGTTTGCTAATTTTTCAGAGGGTGGGGAAATTTATCAACTTGCTATTGATTCTATGAGAAAAAAATTAAAAATATTTTTTTTTCCTATTCCCCCTATTTATGGTGTTGCTGCTTTGTTAAATCTTGTATGAATTAGGAGGTCCTCAATTTTGGTATGAAACTGTTTATAAAGGTTTAGCACTTGAAGATGAGGAGTTGTCTAAACTTCCGGAAGCAATAACATCAATTAGAATAAATGCTCAAACTATTTATAATGCTTATCAAGTTGTATTAGATCATGCTAGACCAAATGTTCCAACTCCTTTTTCTTCTGATTCTCAATCATCTAAAAGAATTGCGGGAGTAAGAGCACTTAGTGCTTGGGCAGGGTTTAGGGGTTCTCAAGGTTCTAGTAGTAGTGATTTTTCACAATTAAATGAGCTTGAAGTTTATTTGTCACAGGGAATTGAGGAAGTGAATCCCGACGACTCCTTTAATCTTTTAGAATGGTGGAAGGACAAAGAAAAATACTTTCTGGTTCTTTCAAGGATGGCCCGAGACATTTAAACTATTCAAGCTTCAACAATGGCATCAGAGAACGCTTTCAGTCAAGTAAGACTTCAACTCGGTGATTATAGAGCGTCTATGAGGGAGAGCTTGGAAAAATCATTTCAGAGATTGGATCCGTTCGGAAAGAAGAAATTTTGGACTTGTTGAGTCACAACCAGAGGTAGACGAAGAAATGCTAGTTGAACTTGCGGAGGATGCTGCTTCGCCCGGAAGCAGTGATGACCAAGCTTCTTTTTCGCTATCACCAACGGAAATTCCTCCGAACCTTGATGAATTTATGAAGTTTGTAAGAGATACCATGTAACTTGTATGAACAAAAATTAGTATGTATTATGTAACTTGTATTTTAGCACATCCTGATTAGTTTCTTTTTCTTCTCAATTGTGGTATTAGTACCTTGTTGTGCTCATTCCATAGGGGGAGAAGACTAAGAAAGATATTGCCATATTTTTTTAATGCTATAATAAAATTATAACGCATTACTTTGAATATCTCTTTACAATATTTTTGTCTTTAAATTTGAATTAAAATATTTAGGTCACAATTCTATAATAAAATTTACAAGGAATTGCCTTAGATATTTTTATTAACATCTTTTTTTCTCTAATTTTTATAAAAACTTTATAAAAAAAGTATTTGTTGGGCCCACTTAGCCCGCGGGTCGGGACCGTACAAATAGTTCGTGGGCTTGGTTCCTACAAAAATACCACCAGGATCGGGACCGTTTGGCCCGTTTAAATTGGGACCGACCCGGGATCGAGACTGTTTGGACCGGCCCACATAGGCCCGGGACCGGTCCACTTGCCACCCTTAGTGCATAGTAATATATTCAAGATTTGATGGCATCTTTTTCAACATCTTTACAAATCGTTTCAACCTTTAAATCATACCAACATTAATATGATAATAATAACCTTTAAACCAAGACCGGACAACATTCACATGGTAAATTTTTACTTATTTTGCATAACGTTTACAATTTGTAGTTGCATCAATAACCGAATTCTTACCTTTGTTTCAGCTGGTTAGAAGTATGGAGGCAGACCCTGGAATCTAAAGGTTTCAAGTTGAGCAGGTCCAAGACAGAATACTTGGAGTGTAACTTCAGTGGCGAAACTCAAGGTGGGGAAGGGGAGGTGAGGCTAGATTCGCAGGTCATCCCTAGGAGAGGGAGTTTTAAATACCTTGGGTCTATTATGCAGAGAGATGGGGAGATTGATGAAGATGTCACACATCGTATTGGGGCGGGATTGATAAAGATGTCACACATCGTATTGGGGCGGGATTGATGAAATGGAGACTCACTTCCGGTATTTTGTGTGACAAGAAGGTGCCACCGAAATGTCACGACCCAAACCGATGGGCCGTGACGGGCACCCGGTACCTTACTCAACTGAGTACCAATGTAACGTATCTTTCGTATCATACTATCATAGGTTAATGAGCCGGAGAGGCTGTCATGAGATAAGTAGAATAAAACATGAGGAAATACTCAATATAGGGTGACCCAACTTGATATACCGACTTATACATGTGATGTACTGGCCTATAAGGCCATACCAGCATCCGTATACATAACATCTGTCTACAAGCCTCTAAGAGTACATAAATATCATAAAGGTCGGGACAGAGCCCCGCCATACCAATCAATACATGTCTAAATCATACTGACCAAATAAGAAACTCCGGAGCAAATAGAGCGCACCAACATCTTCCGCTGAGCTGATAGCCTACTTGGAGAACTCTCAACCTGTCTATCGGGACCTGCAAGCATGAAACGCAGCGTTCCCAGGTAAAAGGGACGTCAGTACAAATAAAGTACCGAGTATGTAAGGCATGCCAGTAGTATATAAAGGACATGAAAGAAATATGGAGTAAAGAACTCAACCTGTAATTCTGAATAGCTCTGTGACTCATGAAAATTTATAATGTCATGCATGTGCGTATAAATGTCATATCATGCATAGGTATATGCGTACATAATATCATCAAGCCTCTGGGGGCATCCCATTATATCATCTCAGTCACTGTGGGCAAAATTATCAACGTATACCAGCTGATCAGGTGGTGGTGCATATATAACGTCGTAACCTTTTCCCATATCCCATATACATATAATATACGCGTATATAATGCCTTCTGGTCATGGGTCAATGTACATATATAAATGCATGAAATGCAGAAGAAATACGTTAATAAGATTTCTCAACATGTCATAAGATCACTATGCCTTTGATTAATATCATGAAATAAACTTTATCAACTTGCGTATTTTTCTGAGACCCATGAACAGATGATAGAATAATAAGACACATGGGGAATCAAGAATATAGACATCTCTAGTATTTCTATGAATAGAGTCATTTATGAAAGTTGCGTATTTGCTCGATTTGTTTGTATCGTATGGATCATGCCAAAAGGAAAGGAGGGATAGCCTTAACATACCTTAACTCCGTTGAGTCTTTAATACCTTCCAAGAAATTCTTCAAACAACTCAACCCAATCTACCACATCATAAGGAGATTCAAAATCAGTGCTGAGTAAAGGCTAAATCTGCAACTTAAACTAGTAGCTCATTTACATAAATTTGGGCAGCATCTCCCTTGTAACTAGTCCCTCCTCCAATACCATATACCAACAACAACAAGAACACAACAATAATAACATGTAAGCATCATTTTCCAACCTTATCTCCATCACAATATACCACAAAACGACTCACACACGCTAATCACTTCATACATAAAACGACAACCAAAGTAGTGTCAAACAACTAAAAACAATGTAACGCCGAACGACCAGCCCACCATTCCGTCATTATGTGGTGTTTCTCCACACCATTTTCCTCCAAAACTTCATTAAATAGTAGAAAAATATACAGCCCAAGGTCAATACGAAACAACCCACAAAACAGTCCACTACAAGTCAAATAACTCGAACTCACGGCTTCCGATCACCGTCCCGTGAGTTCTAACTATTAGGAAATGAATTTATCAACATTCCTTGATATTTAAGCACTTAAATACAGAAAGTACATGTTTTCTTAACTATGAAATATCTTCAAAAACTCAAACTACAAAGAAAAAGAGAGGCGATATAGCGATACTTACGTCATAGGGATCGTTTTAATGTTAACGCTTCTTGATTCCGTGCCCGGGATGATAATATTCTTTGAAACACCATTAGAGAGCTCAAAGACAGGTTCTATGGTATTCTATGGTTAGGTTCGATGTGAAAATGAAGAGAGAGACGAGTTAAGACATATATATCAACTTTTGAAAAGTCAAAGAGGTGCTAGCTTGGCACCCTCTCATTCGCCCATCTTCCGACACTTATAACTTTTTATCCATGTGTCATATGAACAAACGGTTAAGAGCGTTGGAAACTACATTCCAAGACCTTCAATTTGGTATATAATATGTCCCAAAAAGACCTCATATAGCATACAAAATTTATTTCTCACAAAGCTCTATTATAAGGCAAATCCTTAGTCGGTTTGTTGCCGCAACTTTAATCCGATTTTTCCCAAACTTCATATTTTCTATCAAAACATCATATATAGTCATATTATGACTTTAAAATTATTTAAATCATGATTAAAAAGTCTCATATTCATTACGTCACCTTGGGACGCACAAGGTGTAACACGAAACTTAAGGGTAAGTTCTACAGAGTGGTGGTCAGACAAAAATATTGTATGGGGCTGAGTGTTAGCCAGTCTAGATGGCTCATGTCCAGAAGATGAAGGTAGCAGAAATGAGGATGCCGAGATGGATGTGCGGGCACACCAGATTAGATAGAATTAGAAATATGGTTATTCGCGTCAATATGGGTGTGGCCCCTATTGAGGACAAGATGCGGGAAGCGCGGCTTAGGTGGTTTGGTCATGTGAGGAGGAGGAGCATAGACGCCCCGATGAGGAAGTGTGAGAGGTTGACATTGGAGGGCTTACGCAGAGGTAGATGTAGGCCTAAGAAGAGGTGGGGAGAGGTGATTAGGCAAGACATGACGCAGCTTTAGCTGACCGAGAACATGACCCTTGATAGGAAAGAATGAAGGTCGAGGATTAGGGTAGTAGAGTGGGTAGTTTAGAGTGATCATAACAGTAGTATTGACGCATTTATGACTAACCGTTGTTTTCTTTCATTGTTGATCACTTGACTGTCTTGTTGTTTTTATTCTGCTTTTATATGGCTTTTTGGTACTGTCCCTTCTTGTCTATATTTTCATTATTGTGGTGCTTATGCTTTCCTGAGCCGAGAGTCTATTGGAAACAACCTCTCTATCCTCACAAGGCTCTGCGTACACACTCCCCTCCCCAAACCTCACGATGTGAGATAATACTGGGTATGTTATTGTTGTTGTTGTTGTTGTTTCAGCTCATGGATCATTTTGATAATTTTGGATTAATAAAAAACCCTTAAGAAAAAAAAACAATAATATTTTTTTCTCACTGGAAAATAAAAATATTACATGAAGGGGTTAAAGTTCCTATTCAAAAGGTGAAGGGTTTATTATTGTCGAACTTTTAGAAGTTAGGGGTTAAACTGAAATTTACTAAAGGAAAAAGTAAAAATACGAAAAGAGTATTGAAAAAAGAGAGGCTAAAATACATTACATACCGAGAATTTGCTGAAAAAGCACAGGTCAGAAAACAAAACCCTACTGAGCTGAGCTCCATATCTCCACTTTTCTTCAATGGGCACAAAGCGAAAATCATCAGCTTCAACCCCAAAAATCCAACCTGAAGAACAAAAACCTAAACTTGAACTTCAATCTTCATCCTCCTCCGAAGAAGAATCTGAATCCGAACCCGAGGCTGCACCCCAATCCGAATCATCATCTTCAGAAGAAGAAGAGAGCGAAGACGAGGCGACAAAGCGAGAAACTGTTCGGAAACTTCTAGAACCTTTCACTAAAGACAAAATAATCCAGCTATTCAAAACCGCCGCTTCAAACGACCCATCAATTCTTTCTCGGGTCAAAACCCTAGCCGATACCGACCCGACCCACCGTAAAATCTTTGTTCACGGCCTCGGCTACGACACAACTTTGCACCAACTCCACGCCGTCTTCGAACCCTACGGCGAAATAGAAGAGTGTAAACTGATTACTGATAAAGTTACCAACAGAGCTAAAGGATATGCCTTTGTGCTATTCAAAACCCGGGTCGGGGCAAAAAGGGCTTTAAAGGAGCCCCAGAAGAAGATTGGGAATCGTAATACCTCTTGCCAGCTTGCAGCCATGGGACCCGCTGGTGCTGGTTCAGATTCCGTGGAGAATTCGAATAATAATAGTGCTGGTAATAGTAATGCAAATCAAGTTGTGCAGCAAAATGATAGTATGAGTTATGGTTTTGGAATGAGTCCCGGGTTATTGGGTGGCGCGAGTATGAATGGGATGCCCTTTTTGATGGGACAAAACATGGGATTCGGAGTGAATCCTATGCTGGGATTAAGCCAAGCTGGTTTAGCTGCATCGGGATTTAATCCTTCGTTTGTGGGGATTGGTGCTGGTTATGATATAAATAGCATTAATCCGGGCGTTTTAGGTAGTAGTTATGGTGCACAGCCAGCTTTGCAGGGATTAGGGACTTACCCGGGTGCACAAATTGGGCAGCATTCTTTTGGAGGAACAGCAGCAATGACAACTGTAACTACACCGGCAAAAGATTCCTCTGGCATTGGGTCAGCGAGGGTGACCTATCCCTCGTATTTGAGCCGTTAGGTAATCTGTTTTGAACTTGATTGGACTTGTTCCCCTGTAGTAATGATTTATAGTATGGTCCATTTTCTTTTGTCTTAGATGTTTTCTTTATTGAAATCAGTATTTGAATACATAGTTATCTCTGCTTTCTTTTAATTCGACTTTATTACTCGGTGTATATCATGGTTGTCAAATTAGTATCTTTGAAACTATATGTTTAAATGATTGAGATACCATAATTATGGACTTGTCATGCTTTGACTTACTTGTCGAACTTGACTATGGTAGAGCTAAATTTGTGTATATGATTAACTGAATTTTGAGTTTTTTATTCTATTATTAGTTCACTTATACTCTCCAAAGTGTAAGTGCAATGGAATTTTGTCCTCTGGCTCGGTTGACATCTGTAGGTAGCATTTATGGACTGGTTAATTGCTTCTATTGTGAATATACTTTGGTGGTAGATTTATGCCTTGCAGCATTTTATCGAATCATATTAAGGGATTCTATTTTCTTGTTTTTAATGTTTCATCCATCACCAATAAAATGTTCCATCTTGTCCACTTTGATTGACCTTGTAAGTTCCAAGGAATCGTCTATCATGCTACAGCTGGCTAGGAGAATGTTTGAGATGATGCTAAATGAACGAATGTATGTGTTTCTTTGGTAAATTCACTTTTAGGAAAAATTATAGGTAATTTGGACTTGACAACTTTACAACAACAACCCAGTATAATCCCACTAGTGGGGTCTGGGGAGGGTAGTTTGTACGCAGATCTTACCCCTACCCTGGGGTTGAGAGGCTGTTTCCGATAGACTCTCGGCTCCCTCCCTCCAAGAACTCCCCACCTTGCTCTTGGGATGACTCGAACTCACAACCTCTTGGTTGGAAGTGGAGGGTGCTCGCCACTTAGAGCAACCCACTCTTGTCTTAGGACTTGACCAAAAAAAAAAAAAAATGGA